GATTAAAACTGAGGCAGGTTTGGTCAGATATGGTGTACTCTCTCTCCCCCTAGTGGACAAAGAAAATCCTGTCTTCCCATAAATGCAAGAATGATGTTCACCTGTATGATTGATTTCCTCATCCACAGGGATCAATCAATTAATACAGATGGACAGAATTAAATGTAGCATTTTTTCTTTTAATTGATTCATATTATATTCAGTCAAAACAAGTTGTTAAGTGATTAAAAGAAGACATTCGCAGTTATAATATATAATTTATGGTGTAACATTTATTTTTTATTTTGAAGGTGATGTTTTTAGATTCACAAGCTATAGACAATCAATATCCATGGGTAATTTTGAACCCTTTCCTGATCGCACAGAGCATAGAAGCCTATTCTGCAGTCATCTTACGACTTTGAGGTTTTGATGATCTATCAATCACCTAAACAAAGCTTGAGTGTGCGAGCCACTGCCAGGGGAGGTCTGACCTGCGGCCTAGCGTGACATTCAAGGAAGGAGTGCTACTCACCCAGGAAATCCCATTACACCAAAGTATGATGGATATCAGTTCTAGGAAAGCTCATATGTGGTCTGACATATAATTTGTTATAATTTGTAAAAAAAAAAAAAAAACTCTGTCTCAACACACACACACACTAACTCATATTCCTAAGATCTAGAGCACATTGTACATTTGTCTTGTATTTGTATTTGAGATCATATAGGCTACTGAGAGTAGTTCTTTTAATAACTGATTGTACATTACTAGATTATTACACAGAATATGAATGTAAGTGCATGCATGTAGAATTGCATCTATTTTTTTTTTTCCTTCCTAACCCTGACCTTAATTTGTGTAGATATCATGGAGTTTACAAAGTGAAAGAATTCAAACTATTTATTCAAGTTTTCAGTAAATGAGTAATGAATGCACTGTGGTGATTTATCTACGTTTTCCCGATGACATTTACTGTAATGTGGTATTTGTAACAATGCAGAGCAAATAGTTTTGCCTGGCCATAATGACTTATCTGAAGTTTCAATAGTGATTGGACTGACAGCCAAACTGTCTTGTATACTTTCGTTATCTGAATCAAAGAGGTTTAGATTAGCTTTATTTTTAATAATGTAGTAGGACTCCAGTGCCGATCAATAGCACCAAAGATATGATGGCATGCTAATTATGAGCAAAGGTGAACAACAGAGTGAAGTCTCTCTCTATCATGATAGTAAAACACTCTTTATCAACACTGTGGAGACGGCTACACACATTGTAAGCAAATGTCACCTGAGCCCCCTGCAATGAGGCTTGGTATTGTACAATATCACTCATGTCAAAACTAAAAGCAAAGGTTAATTAGGCACCGTCCATACTCTTATCAAAAGTCTCCCTCTCTGTTTATTTGCGCTGTATCACTCTTCTGTGCCATATTGATTGTCCAAGGTAAGGCAATACCATGTACATTTCCAGCTAAAATTTGATTTAAAAAAAACAACATTCCAGCATGCAACCTTTGGACTTGTCTTTGACTCTTTTTTTTATGACATTTATCTTCCTAATAAAAATGAACTGTCATGAATATATTGTAACATGTAAGTCACATGTCTTTCTCACAGGTCTTATCTGTTTTTGGTCCTCACAGTGAGTCTCTGAACTCTCCCCTTTATATGCTTTACTGATAAGAACCAAAGACAAACAGACAGTGAGTGGAGCGGACCATCACAGAGCAGCTTTTTAACTCACCACAAAAATGGAAAAAGTGACATTTTAAAGAAGTTCAACAGTTGGAGAGGGGATCAAGAAGACAAAAACAAAAGCTGCCAAAAACTGTGAAGAAGGAAAGGTACTGGTTCCACATGTGGGATACCTGTGACAAAGAGGGACTAAGCTCAATGCGTGATCTGGAAGTTACAGTGAATACTGTTGCATTTTTGTACAATTTTGCAACTTTTCTAACCACTGAGCCTCATCAGAGCCATGAAGCTTACTGGGACTATCCTTAAACTGGAGTACGCTCGTGGCAGCACCGATACTGAACATTTAAACAACATGATGGCGATACCACTACAAACAAATACAACGGGTACGTATGATGATAACAACTTCACCTAAATTACTCTGGTATACAAGCAGAGGACTCCCGAGTATCATCAGCTGTCACTCCACAAAATGCTAATACTAAGCTTACACTAAGAACGAAAAGTTTAGGACTGATTATTTTCTCAATAAATGTTTTGCCCTAAATGAATATACACCTGTGGCCCCTCACAATTTTAGTCTAAGGTCTTTAAATTTCTTGCTTAGTCTTATCAATGGCCCACAACCCAAAGATACTTTACAGTGATATAAAACCGAGAAAAGCTACAAACCATTATAATCGAGAATCTGGAAAAAGGTTTTGTTTGACATTCATGCTTAAAAAAATAATTCAAACGATAAATCAATAATCAAAATAGTTCCTATAATCCTATCCATCCTGTCATCTTTATAATTAGGGAGCTGTTGACTCAACTCAGGCCCTTTCCTTGCCACTTTGAATGAAGAAGCTTTACCAATAGGCCGCTGCTCAAATCCAGATAACTGCAAGGCAAATGTATTCTAATCTCTTAATTCAATCTAACTGATCTTTGACCACAGAAAGCATTTTCCTTGTTATATTGTAATCCCTTGCTGCTTCATCTTCCTAAACTAAATATGCAATTTACATACATTATAGCCTGCGGTCTGTAGTGCGAGCGTCAGTGTAAGAACACACTGCACTATGAACGTGTATTTGTCAGTGCTTTTAAAGGAGACAATCCTGCAGCAATCAAACACTGGCAGGATGCAATTTAGAGCAACATGGAAGGAGACTGAATTTAAACAGAGCGCCCAATGTGAAATTAGCCAGAAGAGAGTAGCGGACTTTGGCTTGCACTGACCTTTAATTAAATGGGGAGTTTCCTCTTCCTCTTGAGTAATAACTAGCAGTGCTCCTCCGAGGCTTATGGCACTGGCAGTCAAATAGAGCAGTGATATCTCTACCTATAACCCTGCTTTTATTATCACCATTGCTCCTGAAAGACCTATGAAACAGTGGCCAGGTGATTCCTAAGGGGCCGTAAGTTCACAATCAACACCATGCTGCAAAGTTCTCTGTACAAGGTTATTTCTGTTCCTCTACAGAGGCAGAATAAGATTCATTACATGCCTTCGTTCGTGAATGATGGTTTCTGTCAAGGTGCCTGAATGCTCTAAAAAGCTGATGTTCTCTCAGCTATTTGATCTATCTCCGATGCTTGTGGGGCTTATTAAATTAGACTCAGAGATCTTTACTTATTCATTAGCAACCAAATAAAAGGGGTCCATGTCTTAAAGGTCATAGAGAATCCCACTCCCTAACCATGTAAATGTCTATCACTTGTCTCTTATTCAAACTTCTCCTCAGGCATTTTCCCTGTATACTGTATTTTATCAAATATCTTTTTTAATTGATAGACTCACCAGTGTCGGCACCCACCTCATCACAGCCACAGCCTGATGGAGGTCGGACTCAGTGTTCCATATGCGCAGACAGAGCCACAGGTAAACATTATGGTGCATCCAGCTGTGATGGATGCAAGGGCTTCTTCAGGAGGAGCATTCGCAACAACCACACTTACAACTGCAGGTGAGCCTCATCATAGATCCTCCACAATACAACATATAATTATTCAATAGCATTGTATTCATTTTATATCTCAATATCCACCAACTTATTACCAAAGACTCTTTGTGACAGATAATACACACCAAGAGCAAAAACAATGATACTGAGAATTGCAAAAAGGTGTTTATTCATGGTGAAGTGAGAAGTTATTCTGTGGTGTTAAAGTTATCACCCACTGTACATCAGGGTGAGATGTATCATTGAAGAAACTTCACCTAGCAATAACTGAGACCAGTCCAGACATGGAAGCAATAACATATATATATAATGACAGAGGACTCTAAATAAATGGTGAGACATAACTGTAGGGTCTTTATTTCCCATGAGAGGAGCTGATTGAGCCAGATTCTGTCATGTCTAAGCCTGCATCAAAAAGTGGTCCTGAATGCACAGTGTCACATCAAAACATGTAAAAGCTCAAGGACAAAATATGACCAATTCCAAATCCTCAACACGACATTGTGTGTGTAAGTGTAGTTGTATCTACTGATAAATATCAAAGGGAACTTTTAAGGACCAGTGTGTAGGCTTTAGTGGCATCTATTGGTGAAGTTACAGATGGCAACCAACTGAATAACCGCTCGTCTTCCGAGCATGTAGGAGAAACTATGGTGGCCAAAACTCACGAAATATAGGAAGGCCCTATCTAGAGTCAGGGTTTGGTTTGTTTGTTCTGGGCTACTGTAGAAACTTGGCAGTTCAACCTGGCAGACTCTGTAGAAGAGGACCCACTCCCTTTGTAGATAAAAACAGTTCAGTGTAACAAAAACATGATTCTTATTGTCAGCTAGGTTACATTAGCAAGCATAACACACCTGAATGTCTAACCGAACTTATCGCTGTCGAGTTGCATTGTGGGTAATCTAAAACAGCAGGTTTTGTGAAGGAAAGAAGGAAGGAAGGAAGAAGAATGCATGGAATAAAAAAGTACCCAATTTGCTGAATTTATTTTGCTCATTTTTAAAACTATCCATTGTGAGTCCAACGTAGAAGTGCAATGCTAAAGCAGTGTAGTACTCTTTTAATATAATCTCACAGCTGTATTGAAAGGATTTACAGTATGTGAATCTGTGTTTATACAGTGCACATTTTTTTCAGGTTCAACAGGCAGTGTATTGTGGACAAAGACAAAAGGAACCAGTGTCGTTACTGCAGACTGCAGAAGTGCTTCAAGGCTGGAATGAGAAAAGAAGGTCAAAGGACTGTCTCGTTGAGCAGCTTTCTTTTTTTATTTAATACAATGCAGCACCAGTGTTTAAATTCTTTAACTCTAATCAAACCACAAGAAAATGCGTCAATGGTTCGCATGTATAGTCAAAACATAACAATTTCCATTATTATTATCATTACAATTACTATTTGTATTTTGATCATGTCATGTTGTAATTCTAGGAAAAAACAAGATCAGGAATGGTTTGATAGAGGAAAAGATATTTTTGTTTCTTTCTCAAGCAATAATGAGTGTGCCAGCGTTCATTTCCATGTATGTGTTTATGTGCAATAAGTATAGCTCTGGCCTTATCTTCCACTGACTCCAACAGATAAGCAGGGAGAAAGAGATGCGATCTGAGGAGCCATGAATAGTCTCTAGACATGAATAATTAACATGGCTGAGCATAGGCAAATATTTGCTCTGCCATTTTCTGGAAAGATGTTGCTCACAACCCCCTGAAGTGAAGGCCAAGGCCACTAATTTAAATGTTTACTTACCTAATTTGGCTGCTTTGCATAAAATGCTACAATATCACTTTCATATTAGACCAGAGTAAAGCTGTGGTAGAAATACATAGTAAAGCATTAAACAATAGTCATTTTATATACTCAATGTAACTGTTTACTCCAGACTTAACTGAAAATATTTGTTTGGGTCATTGTCATGCAGGACCCATGTCAGTGAAGCACAGAGGGAGCATCCCGCTCCTTCTCCTCTTCTAGTTTGATTAATACGCTCCTGATTGGTTGCTGAGAGGACAGCTCTGATGACTGATTACTCTGACACTCGGTCCTGTTGTCTGACTTTGTGGAGCCATATTGGAATCAGTCTGAGGCCATCCAGATTGCTCTGTTTCTAATGACTCTCACAGAGGGGTTGAAACATAATCCACACCATCAAGAATCCAGACATCCACGGCTACTTTTTATTGTCAGTGCCAAATATATCAAATCAAGATCCAGGATTAAAACATTACCTTCTACAACTTTGTTTCTGTGTACTACCTATTTCAAGGGGTGTATCAGAAAAGGTTTTCTCTATATTTGTCTTCTTCTTTCTGTATTCTACTACCACCTTTACCACCTTATCAGGGAGAAACTTTAAATAGATAAGTAACAAAACGATTTCTGGTCTCAGTTTTTTAGTCTTTAGTCAAAGTATTTGTATGATACAGCAAAAAATTTAGATTCCTTCATGTTTTTGACAAAAGTATTTTCTTTCAGGAGATATTTGCAGCTGAGGTGATGTCTGGAGAAGCAAGAAACTTCTCTGATGGTTCTTTCTTCTCTTTAATCTCCAGCTGTGCAGAATGAGAGAGACTGCATCAACAGCCACAGAGCCAAGGGACAGACAGTGGGTACTCTGTCTATCAGTGTACTGCTGAGGGCAGAGGCCAGTGTGCAACAGGTAACACATCGTCTTATTCCTTTCTCACATGCCAGCCAAGGGGTCCCTATTTCTGGAAATCATGTAGATAGAGGCCAAAGACAGAGAGGATATAGATTACATGTAAGACATGCCGCCATTAAATTCTTTGGAGGTTCTAGCTGTAGGCTGGATTCAGTTACTCCTTAGAAATGACAAAATTGCCGAGGGACCCCATCTAATCATAGCCCATTTAATTGCACCACTAGGTCTGGGATTGTGTGCCGAAGTTCAATTACCTTCAAATGCATAATAACAACCAGATATATGCTTTTGCATGTAAAAAGAATGCACAGAAATAAATTAGATCATTGGCAAATGAGCTACTACGCCATATGCTGCTGTTTTTTTCAAAATCATCATGTGGTGTCCCTCCTCTACCTGACTCGTCTTGCTTTAACCTTCACACCTCTTGGAGTAGCAAAGCACTCATACATCTAGCAGCATCATCACCTTCCTCATCATCCCCCGTTTATCTCCCTCACCGCATACACACTCACACACCTTCTCTAAGGTTCATTCCCACATTGCAGTATCACCTGAGCCCACTGTGAACTCACATTATATTTTGCTGCTCTCAGTTCCCAGCTCTGGTCTCACCTAGGAGTCATGACATCAACACGAAGCAGACTGCCTGCGTGGGAGTTGTGTTCGAGTCCATGAAGCAGCAACTCCTCCTACTGGTGGAATGGGCAAAACACATCCCGGAGTTTTGTAGTCTCCCAATAGATGACAGGGTATGAAACGGATTCAGTACCTAAAAAAATTTTTTATTCTAACAGCTAACCTATCAATGCAGGATAATGTAACAGCAGCTGGCTTTATGCTTTTCTTTTCATATAGTGTTTATATTTGTCAGTTCCGGTTGATGCCTAGGTGGACTAAACGTTTGGCATGTTATAGTTGTATGTGACATAAATTTTGTGTATGTCTGTGTGCAGGTAACCCTGTTACAGACCCACTCTGCAGAACATCTTATCCTAGGGGCAGCAAGACGCTCTTTACCTTATTACAATCTGATTCTTCTAGGTAGGTATTAAACCTCCTTATGACTGTATGCTTTTTTATTTAATTATTCAGTTATGTATAAGGGGAACTATGTATTTTAAGTATTGCATAGGTCTACAGTGATCTTCATGCTAAAATATGTTGCATATGAATGGATTTGGTTATGTGTATTGACCAGGTAACGACTTTGTGATCCCCCTGAGAGGTGCAGAAGTAGCAGTGTCCAGGGTGGCTTTCAGAATCCAAGAGGAGCTGGTCAAACCTCTCAGAGAGCTGGACATCACAGACAAGGAGTTTGCTTGCCTCAGAAGCATTGTCTTCTTTGCCCCAGGTCAGTCTGTGAGAGGGGAATGTGGACTGTAATTTCTATTTCACTTAACCTCAACCGTTGCACCAGACAAAGAATAACTTTTTTTGATGTTCTCGCTTGGATCCGTTTATTTTCTTGGCCTTTTGCGTCTGTAGTTTAGTCTGAGTGGTCTGGCGTCAGCGTGCTTCAGGGAGATTCTCTAATAATATCAGGATGTGGTGAAGACCTTGGCAGTCAGGCAGATGTGGCTGCCTGCAGAGCTTAACAGCCTGTTTACCTGAGGCAGCAGCAGTAGCAGAAGCAGGCTGGAGGACCAAAAGACCTAAGGACTGAATTCTGAGTTAACTCTGCCCCACAGCCCAGAAAAGATAGTCACCATAACTTAGACTTGGGATTATCACAGAATTTTTAATCAATCACTTTTTAAAGTTTTTGCTGTAAAACATAATTCAGTATTATTTCTATTATGCCCATTATACTCTGCTGTTCTGTGACTAACTTATATACAGAGTCAGTCTTAATAATTAATCAGATCTGTCAGATATATAGCTGACCTGATCGATAGTTCCCTTATGGTGCAACATACCAGACAACCTATTAAATATAATAAATGTAGAGAGCTGGTGACTGCCAGTCAGAACTCATAACAAGGATTTTCCATAATATGAAGGTAGTTTTCAACATCTGCACACAAACTATACTCACTGATGTCCTTTACACAGATCCAATATGAGTGTGACATTCAGTCCAATATTGATTATGTTCACTCAGTCTGAGAAAGGTCTCTAGGACTGACAAAGTGATTTATTAAAAGAAATAATTGCCTGTTGCAAAATAAATCTTACATAGATAGAAGGAGCATCATACATTGATTATATATTTGATGTAACCAGATCTGCTATTGGTTAATTTCAGTATTTATTCATCTCTTGTAACTAAAGAGCTGAATCTCATTTATCATCTGCCTTCCCAACCTTAGTGCACCAGATGGCTTGTTACACAGAACCTTGTGTGATCTTCATGTCATCTGCTTAGGATGGTTGCTGTTCACTTACAGTCTGCTAGAAAAGCTTGAATCTTGTTGCCTTATTTTTTTCTCCTCAATAAAAACTTTGTTTGGCAAGAAAATATATAATTTTTTTAATTTATAAAACAACGTACAGTCATTACAAAACACTCTTGCCCATGGAAAGATGATGCTGGATGTTAGGGCAGTGTAGAGATGTATTACAGGGTTTGTATATGTCAGCTCATTACTACATTATTTGTCATCTTCTATGTAGAAAAGTATGCCTTACAATGGCATACTGGGAACTGCAAAGGACTTGCAAAATATACGCTGATATTTTAATTAAACCAAAAATGGGGAAATAACAGACATATCTCTGATCCTCCACAAAAACGTATACCTACTTTTTGTTGTCATATATACTTATTATACAGTACAATTAAACTTAATTTCTTGATTTCATTCATCTCTGTTACGCATTCAACAATTATATTCTTGTCTATGTGGATAAAGTCCTGCCCTTCTTTCACTCATTGTTAATGATAACAATTCCCTGATAAAACTTTACTGAAGTGCATTCACAGCCCTTTTCTTTTATATACTGCTACAGTGTACCTCTTCAGTATATGTCCTCTTTACCTTTATCTTGCAGAGTGTCCTGGTTTGAAGAGTCCTCAGGTGGTTCGACATCTGCGTTTCCAGGCCCATTTGCTGCTAGAAGAAGCAACCTGTGAGAAGCGGGGAAGGTTTGGGGAGCTCCTGCTGATCCTGCCTCCCCTGCAGAGTGTGGCCTTGCAGATGGTGGAGACACTACACCTAGCACAGCTACTAGGCGAGGCCAGTATGGACAACCTGCTGCAGGAGATGCTGCTGGGGGAGGGAGCCAAAGCAGGACAGGGTAGAAGACACTGCTACAGGATTTCCTTGCAAGAAATTGACTTAATCTATACAGTATGTTAAACTCTGAACTGTACTGAGTTTGCACTAGTGTCATAATCCGGATGTTATTATGCTATCTTCCTTCAGGTGATGTCCTGTCTCAAAACCAGCAAAATGAGCAAAGAGTTTCTCCCACAAACTTTGTCTCTGTCATCTCTCACGTTTCAACATGTGAGCACTCACAATCTATCACACCAGTCCACATTGTAGTCTTATCAAGTCCAACAGTCAAAAACCATCAAAATAACAAATATATTCATAATGGTTTTTACCTGACATTTGTATCCTTGAAACTGAAATGTATTGATGGACACTGAACCCTCATGTGCTAAATGCCATTGCTGATGTCTGTCTGTCTCACACAGCTCTTTCAAGTGGCTTGCCTGCTGCCCCCACAGACTGGCACTGAGGTGTACAGACATGGCGAAGCTGCCAAAGAGCCCACAGCATACCAGAGGCACCTGTCCACACCAAGAGACTCCTCAAGAAGCAACAACTTAACCATGAAGTGGAGGAGTGTTATTAGCTTCAGACAGAGCACAAACATAAACACACACACAGCTACATACATACAAGAGTGATACTATAATCATTCTTCATTAAATAATGCATCTCTGTATTCAGTATTGGTCATTTGTCTGAGATCCAAAATAAATACATTTTAAATTTGATTTATACGAAAACAATATAAAACACTGAATTACTAATGCTCTGCACGTCACAGTAATAAATAGATCTGCAAAACATGTAAAATAAAACTGCTGATATATGTATATATATATATATATATATATATATATATACATATATGTTAACATTGCACTGAACTATACCTGAGAGTGATTCACTCCTTCCTATCATATCTACAGTATGTTTGAGTCATACACAGGGCTGAAGTGAAGGTCCTGAAATCGTCAGCAGAGGGCGCACAAAGCCTGTTTAGAAACACACTTGATGGCCCCTGAGAGGCAAGCTATTCTTTGTAAATAGAATCCTCCACTCATGTTTCTGTGTTAATCTGACTGGAAAAATTGTTGTTTTAATTGTTAACCCACCATAGTGAGCATTTTAGTAAACAATACTTCAATGATTTGGATTTAGGAACTAAGCGGTTTACTAAACTATTAGTTGTCCTTCTTTGGAACTCTTGCTGAAACCATCTTAATAATGGAAACTTGTTACATAGACCACTGGTAGTGGATAGTGTCCACCTTGATGACCAGAAAGCTGTTAATCATTAAGTCGGGATGAGAGGTAAGGGGACTCAGCATCACAGAAGCTCAGAAGGGTCTGCAATGACTCCATATAACTTGATGACAAAAACGTGTTCTGCATAATGAAATCCTTTTTACTCTGTGTGTTTTTATATCTTAATTACCGAATCCCTGCAAAAATATAGAAAGAAACTCCATCCTTTATTCTCCCCTGAAGCCGATGGCAACCATATCCACAACAGTGTGTATAATCTAAACAGCATATTGGTTGTTAATTCCACTGTTCTGAAGATTGAGCGTTCACGCTTTCTTAAAAAATACTCATGCATCAAAGAAATCCGGTTAGCAAAATAGTGACGTGTTCTCTTTCCATTTGAGACAGTATCAGGTCTGTGACATTTTGCCTGAGCTCAATCAGTGGAGAAATCTCTGATGTTGAAAGAAGTTATATAACATTATATAATCCCATAAAGCTAAATTGTTCAATGTAATGAGAGGGGGAAAAAAGCTTCTTCTCTACAGGCGGTGGAAGTCCTCTCAAAGTTCACATTTCACTAACATATACAATATGTGCTCGGCTTGCACTCTTGTCAGCCGCATATACAGCACATTAGCTCATATAGACCAGATTCCTCTCAACTGATGAAAGACACACTGCTGGAGCAATAACACACTGTGGAGTAAAGCATGGACAGATCAAGAAGACATCCAAATACAAATATAAACATTTACAAGGGACTACAATTTATCACAAAGAAATGTAAAGAAGTTAGTTTCAGCATGTTAGTACATAATTGGGATATTTTGCCTTGGTATACGTTTGGCTTTCTGTGGGTGCTCTCCAGTTTACTGCTGTAATCAAAAGACTATAAATAGCCCCTACTGCAGGTACTAAGTAAATACGAGTAAATGATAACATGGACGAATAAATGCACCTACAGGTCACAGGTATAGAGGACTGCGGGGTCAGAGGGTGCAAAAGGCAGTGACTCTAAAGTGCCTGTTTTCTCCTGATCTTTTAATATCTGCTGATACAGAGTCTGATTCATTTGTCTCATTGTTTTCTCTGATTTATTTTTATTGTCCTATATTTAGTTGTTTTTTTATCTTATTGCAGCTGCACAATGCATTTGTAAGCTACAGTAAGTCCATGTTGAATTTAGTGAAGCGGCTTGAATATATTTGATTGCAGAATAGCTCTACTTCAAGAAAATATAACTATCCTTTTATCTACAGCATGACCAAACTAAACCTCAGGTGCAGTTTCTACCCAACACTAATGCTTAACCATCAAAACACAGAAAAGACTGAAATCGATATTGGTCAGGGAACCTTTTAGTGTCTGTGCCCAGCGGCTCTTTGCCTTACAATCCATCCATGTGTGAGAATGTCTGTCTGTCTGTGTTAGCCTTGTGGTTGACCTTTGACATGTCATGTAATAGGTGTTTCCCTGCTGCCAAAGGCTCCACGCTGTCATGAGCCTCACCAAATCTTGTAAACACTTAACAGACCAATATAATTGACATGCATCATTTTACTCAAACCAACCACAACAGAGGGAAATCTGCATTTTGACATAGTGCTGATGTAACCTTACTGTTCCACTTGCTACAACTGGCCTCACCTCCCTGGATGAGAATTCAAAAATGAAAACTATTCTTTTTAACTTTCTCATCACAGCTCAGTCTGAGGTTAAGAGATCTGCGCTGACCTGCATTCACCATTACCAGAAGAGGGAGGATTAAGAGGTAAATCTTCATCCAGTAGAAGGGAACTTGGAAACAAAAACATGACTAGAAGCATGTGCATTATGGGCATTCCTCCTTTAAATACATTCATGCTCCATGAAATCTCTTTCTTGACATGATATGACATTTCAGGCAAGGCTTCCTATGAAAAAAACGCATTATAAAAATAAGACTATTCCATTAAATACAGTCCAAATAGTACACAGGTGAAACTTTTAGTGTCTGACTGATGCTGGGTTAGGGGTTAGTTAGGAGGCTGTACCTGCTCAATCATATCTATCTGAATTCTCAAATAATTGGCCTTGGTTTGTTCATTATTGGCAGAAGGTTTGGTTTTGATCAGACGTGGCTGTATCATATCAAAGATGTCGTTGCTAGCTTACTAAACATTCCTCCCATCACAGAGCAAAATGTGCCCACTCACCTAACACTCACTCTCACATCCACTCAAACAGTTAATTAGGCTTTTAAACAGGAACATGAGAAAGTTGAAAATGAGCTCCTTGTCATACTCAGGTTTCACTGTTTGTCGCTGTTAAGAGGTTCAACAGTGACACTGCTGTGATGTTGGTTTCCTTCCCAGAGGCCCACTGTGCAGGAAGTCTATTGATCTGTCAAGCTCAGCAGAGAGCACAGTGATCGGTGTTAAAAGCTGAACACTCACTCTCAGCTGTCAATGTTGTCCGCAACAGCCTGGGTGGAGTCCAGAAAGCAGGGGCTCTGTCTGTACTGATGTTGTTCTTTTACACAACCATGTGCAAACTCTTCATATTAGTTCCTCTTTCTGCGTCACTGACCATCTGTGTGCTGTGCGGTTTTGAACTGGGCAGCCTGCCAAACATCTCAGAGCTCCTTGGATATCTGCTTGAGTGAAAATATTGCGCAATCTCCAAATAGTGGCCACAGACCTGCTTGATTCTCTCTATGCCACAAAGGGCTTAGCTATGCCACAGTATTATTGGATTATGCTTGTGTGGAAAGGCAGTGAGGTAAGAGTGGGGAAACAATGACATCATAAAATCAGAGATTGTTAAAATCAAAATTGCATTTGTCCCAGTTTTGAAATGTTACATTAAAGCCAAGAGAACTTCTGAACCTTAACGATGTGCACCGCATGAAACAGATTGTACTTACAGTAAGAGATTGTAAATAGACTGTAGATTACTTGAAAACCATCTTTCTAAACATAGACTGCACAGCTCACAATAACAATAGAAAATATTTCGCAGACAGCAGTTGAGTACACCTTCTTGCTAGAGATTCAAATCTCTCATGGCCCGATGTCCCTCTTTGAGAATGATATCACTTACTTAAAATCACATGACCAATAGAAAAAGCGCTATTATTTTAAAAGGAAATATAGTCGGACATTATTTACATTTGATGTAGTTGTATTTGGCCTAGTTTCTATAAACTAACTAGTTTTGATAAAAATTAGTTTTGTATCATGGTTTACTAAAATTATATAGTTAAAAGGAACACATTCAGCCTTTATGATAAAAATCTAAATGTGCTAGTAACAGACTATATAAGAAATGGTTTAATGCCTATGCAGCTACAGCCTTAAAACAAGGAACAAGTAGACTGAGATGAGAGGGGAAAAAAGAAACTGAACCTGTGAGAGATAAAGCAGAAACAGTTGCTGGTAGAATACTGAAAACTATTGTTAGGTAAGTAGTGAATGAAATGAGTCCACAGCTGGCAGTGCTTTTGTTTTGTGCCTCAAACACAGGAAACATGGCTTACAACACTTTTACAACTGTGGGATGAGACCTGATGCTACTGAAGCACTGACACAAAGGTTCAGTTCAGTTCCCTTTTTCACTTTATAACTTATATCTAGACAGGAATCCATGAACTTTTAAGCAGTTGGAATTAATATGACCCTTTCACATGATAGATGAGGAAGTTAAGATTGCTAATGGTCATAAATAATATATAGTATATCCTATAATAATAAAAACCTCTGTTACGTGTCTCTCTGCCTAGTCAAGCTGGTGAAGTCCACCTAAGTCCACCATCCCTTTTCCCTGCCCTCTCAGGTAGCAGAGACAGACAGCAGTCGTCTTTGTGTTATGGATTTATGACTGGAAACCGCTCCACCTAAATATAGCTGTGCAGAAAGCTGCTTTCACCGTGGTCTGAATTTCAAGCAGGTACCCTCTAAGGAGAAGTTGCACTTCAAGTTTGAACATGAATGTTAAACCATGGGCATTTGAGTGGAATTTTTGCAGGGGAAAAATTTGTTGTAGTATTTGCTGTAACAGGAAAATTGGTCAAGATAAGATCTGTTGTCAAACACTCACAAATCATCCCTTTGAGGGGAAAATGTGGTCACTTTTTACCCTTCAATCTTGAAAGTAAAGCCAAACATGAGAAAGGTGCATTCAATCCTGGAATCAAACCTTATTGTTTGCAGACTTAACCAAGACAAGAACTAAAGGAATGTCTGCTTCAAGTACTCTTGGAAACTTGAGTGTACAGTCCAATAAATTGTATACCACTTAAGTGATGGAGACAGACAAAAACTGGGATGCCAGTGCATATTCAGGCTTCAAACAGTTGCCCGCTCTTACATCAGTAAACTATAAAGTGCAACTATAAAGTGATTC